AGAAGTATAAACGTAATTTTATTAAAATGTAATTATGTACTTGTACATGAAAACAAAGCGTTGTTATAAAACAACACAATAATGTCTGGAATTTTCTTAGTAAACATTTTGTTAAGGGACTACGAAATTGATTCAACAAAGTAAAAGCTCGGCTGTCTGTTATTGAAAGATCTGTTCAGTGAAATAGAAACTTGATAGACGTTTTAATGTGCTATTACAAAGTATCTTCTTTTTTGTTTAAATTTCTTTAGACAGAAGAAAGTTTCTTAATTCGTATTAATATATTTTTTTGCATATTCAGAATTGTAAACTCAGATGTCGCTTACTTAAACTCTATCATAATAATTATAATATAAGTCATATACTGTACATTTTTCAGTTCCTTGTATGTCAGTATCAGTTCCCAGTAGTTGTAGTTGGAAAACTAACAGACTCGACGCATTGGTGCAGGTACCAACTATTTCACAAATTACATCAAACATTCTTAAAATTTCATTTGCGGCAACATGACTAGAAGTTATCCTAAGAACTTCTATCTAGCTTCATCACGTCTGGCTGCTCTGATTTCATAACCATGAGACATAAAAAAACAATAATTTACTCAGATTGTTGAACAGTTATCCAGAAATAAATCATATTATGTAAAGTGAAGACAGATTTACAAAATAAACTCGGATTAGATGAAGACTAATCCAATACATATTCAAAATGCATGCAGACAACAGACCGGGCAACGTTGCTGCAAATTTAGTCGACGCGACTTCGCTCGACGTGCAATAATAAACTGCATCTGTGACAACTGACAGTTGATCCCTACTGCAACATCTGCTGTATACGATTGTTGAAACACATATTTCCATATTCCATTATAATGCCACGCTTCTAATGGAATATGGAAATATGTGTTAAAACAATCGGGTGCAGTTTGATATTGCAAATACGTAGGTTAGTATTGTTGTGTAGGTTGTAGTAATTTGTAGCAAATAATAATTTACATGTTGCCACATACTATACAGTAAAGTATTTTTGAAGGCCTTTCTTCATGATAACTCGTAAAGTGAGAGTGTATCTATTCAAATCATAAATGGGATTACGAAGTTGTTTGTAGGGGGGACATCAAACTTAAGGTAAATCTTTGCACAAAGAAATAGACTGCAGTATCTGTGATAACTTTGCCTAAAATATAACGTTTCTTGGCAAAACTTAGCATATCACAAAATACTTCAATGGGTTCTTAAAGTATTTTGTGATATGCTTCCCACGGAAAGAATTGACTTTGAAACAATTAAAACAAACATGACGTGTATAGATATAGCCAAACCAAATAAGTAGGTACAGCGACCTAACAACACATTTTTTCTTAGCATAATAGGCAGTCTTGGTGAATGTCTATATTTCGGTATTAGTCCGAACAATTCTTCGGAGCACTCTCCATGATAAATGCGATAGAGAACGCAGAGTGAAGCCACATCTCTACGTAACGCCAAGGGATCGAGCCAATATTAGATGTATGGGCTATCGACGATTTGAGTCTCTCTTCGTTGCATGCGGTCCAGAGGGAGAAGCTGGTACTGATGTGCCCCTGTATAGAGATGCAAATAGTATATGCGGCCGGACTTGCGCCTTATAGAGTTGAAGGCGGTGGGCCGGAGTGAAATACTGCCTCGATCTGTTCAGCACACCGAGCTTCTTCGAGGCCAATTTGACCTTACCCTCTAAATGACCCCGAAACTGGACTTCGCTCGATATGTCGATGCCTAGGATTCCGATGCCGGCTGAGGCAGTTAGGGAGGTGCTCCAGTTCAATCTTCTTTTTTCATAAAATAGTTTTAAAAGATAAAAATAACTGGAAGGTATAATCTAGAGAATTAAAATTCCTTAAATGGAAAGCTACATTATCAGCGAGTAACATAAGCTACTTTTTACCGCGAAAACACATACACGTGGGTGGTGCCGCGGGCAAAAGCTAGTTAATAATAAATATAACTACAATATTTCTTCGTATGTGAATAACTACGAGCGCCAAATTTTTCACTGAATTTAGTGAAGTGTGTATCGCCTTTAAACTTGAAGAGTCCACAATATAACGCTAGACTGTTTCTAAACATTCTTAACATAAATCAGCTTCGCGCTTGCTCCTTGAGTGGAACTCAAATTATTCAGGCCACGGCGTCCGCCGCGCCGTAAGTGTTCGTGAAAATTTCGGAGAGTTCCCTCGCGAAAAAGGTCATTTATGATTATGAACATGACACGACTTAGCCCGGTATAAAAATGGGCAACTTTATATGTTCTAGGAAGAAACTTATAATGACGCGGTAAGGCTCTAAAACTTTTCATACTAGTATGAATAATTTACCTGAGAGTAAACATAATGTATTGACATAGATTACGTAAACGAAGGAGAATTCGTTTGTTTCACTAAAGTTTGTTTTAAAGCTATAGCAGTCAACAGTACTTTACATAAAACTACTGTTATAAAGACATAAAAATCATAGGAACATTACATTTGCAAACTTGTACAACAAGCAAAAAGGTAATTGAACCGGCCTTACCTTCTTTTTATTTGTTTACATTGTTAACAACTAATAAAAGAAAAAGTATGTGAAGTCAGTAAAGGTGCTGAGTATTTATGTGTGTTTTTATTCCAATAGCGCACAGTACTTGTACTGTTGACTTAAAATGTTGGTACTTTTATAACGTTATGGATGTCAATAATTTACATGCAGCACCTCAATATAATGCAGTTTTCAATGAAGCCTGGTTGCCACACGAGAATATTCCTAAACATTGATGGTCAGCGATTCTTAGAATATTATTATTAGCATGTTTGCCGATTTGACAAGGATCTATATGTACTAAATACAATAGAGGATATTTTTAAAGTTAAATGTATGTAGCTCCAATGACAAACATCAGTGGTATTTTAAAAGCTAGTAAGCCACTCAAAAGCCCACCGAGTTTTCAGATCTTTAAAAGAGCATAGCACCCACCATATACCTAGCATAATTAAGACGGTACCTTCATCTACTAAACTCCTTATCAAAGAAAACAAACGGATGTATTCCTATTTTCCCATTTTAATCCGCATCTGGAAAGATAATTACGAAAGATAAATTTATCGTTTTGGGAAACAGCTTCTTTTTCAAGAAGATTTTTCACGAATGCGTCCAATGATAGCCAATGACGAATAAAAACAGACTATAAAACGCGTATGTAGTATAACAAATCCTAATAAACTATTAAAATGAGTATGCGCCATATGTGTTGTGCCAAAATAATTTGTCTTTATTTCGTAAGTTTCAAACTCATCGGTATGTAATGACTGTTTTATTCGAATGTACAATACTATGCTTAAGAAAAGTGTGCTCGTTAGCATTTACAGTACATAATATTACTTGCTGCCTATTCAATACTATAGACTCTACTAACTAACGTCAACTATTTTTACATCTAACACAAACTCAATTTCGGCATTAATTATTGTATACTTCATGTTGTAATAGTTAAAAATATATACATTTTTGGTAGAATCGGATTCAACCTGAAGTAAATCAATTTAAAAAATATGTGTACTAAGAACCAAATTGGTGCCTCTTAATTCCTTCAGTTCAGGTGTCAGTAAATTTTTATATGGATATGTGAAATACTTATATACGACAGTATTACAACAAGTGTACATGTAATAAATAGCGTTGACATGGTATGCTCGTGAAACCGCGGCAAATGATAGTAAATAATAAGAACTAATCATTTTCAAAATTCAGATCGAGGTTCTGTGAAATAATGACTTTGCTTGGAACGAAGCAGTTGAGTGTATTTTGCATTTTCAATATTAGTTTACAGATACAATGGCAGAACCACGACAGAACATACTTGTTATAATTTTAGAAGTTATTTAAATAAAATTGTGCACTTAAATATTACTGTTATCTGTCATACAAATTAAAGCACCTTTTTTTGGGCTATACCTTTGTTGAAGCTTTTTCGTGATCAATAGTAAAAATCCTTTTAAAAACAAATTGAACCGACCTTAAACAATACTGCTAACTTTTTTTAAAGGATTTATTTTACTATTTTCAATGTAATATATGTATAATGAGTAGATAAGTATAATATTTAAAATATTACGTACCGTACTGTATAGTACCAAACTGTAATATGTTAGATGAAATAAATATATGTAGTTTAATTAGTCCGTTACTTTATTTAGATAAGGTTGTAAGATGATACATTTGAACCCAAAAATGTATTGTTTTCCACATTACTGAATTTTCCAAAACTATGACTGGTATTTTTTCTTCATATTTGAATGGAACTTAAGGGGAAATATGGGTGTATTTCCCCTTTAGTTCCAAATAAAAAAATATTTTCTAAATCTGTTTACAAATCAAAGAGTTTTGAGGTAACAAACATGAAAATAATTGCGTAGCCAACCATTTTTTGTCTAAATGTTTTGTAATTTCATTTCATACTCTCTTGTGCACATATTTCTGTTATCCCACACAAATACCTAACAAATATTTTGATAGAATAAAACAAGGTCAATACACGATTAGATTTTTGAAAGGGTTATTTTCTAACTTCTAAACGTCAAGGATCTTTCCATCATCAGCTCAGAAACATGGCATAACGACTATTAAACGCAAATACCTATAAAGCTAGAGAAATAAGCTAAAACACTTTGCCGGGGCTGTAAAATTTGAGGGTTTCCCTCGATTTCACTAGGATCCCATCATCAGATCCTGATTTGGCGGTGGACCATCTCGGGAGCAAAAATAATTCGGTCCACAATTGATGGAGATCGCCTAACAAACATACAAAAAAATAAAAAAATACACGCGAATTGATAACCTCGTCTTTTGTGTTTTGGAAGTCGGTTAAAAATGGATTGCGGTTGAATTTCGACCTCTGGGCTTTCGATAGTTCAAATAAAAGAGAGTACTTACAAATATATTCCAAAAACAAATTAAAAATGTCTTATCAAACGAGAATTTACTTACTGATGTGTAGTAACATTAAAGAAGAGATGCGAATATTGCGGCGCGGAGTCCTCAGGACCGTGTGGCGCCGGGAATGACATGACTAGCAGCACTGGTTTGCGGGAGAATCGACGTTTGGAGGAGCGTAGAAAAGCTATTGAATCGTTGGCTATCAAATCCGGATAGTAATCCTGTAATATAAATTTAGTGTGAAGGTCATTATATCACGGTAATAGAATAATCTTAATTCCCAAACCTGACCCAAATTGGATGTGATATTACAAAATTCGGGATCGCCGGTAATTTTGTGTCGTTATATATAGTCCTTCAAAATAACATGAAACCGTACAGTTGATAGCTAACCTTTTAAATAAGATGGATGGCAATAATTTGCAAGTAGTTTTAACTACTTAAAGTAAAATATTGATTAGTTAGGTTATGCAAAGTACCCTTTGATAATCGTCTCCATGCTTGATCTTCTTGCCGTTCATATTGATGCTGTAGTTATAGTATTTTGAGTTCATAATAAGTCCTCCCCACTCACGCCAGCCAGGCGGGATGTACGAACCGTTATACTTGTTTAGATACTTGCCGAAATATCCTGCAAAAAGGAAAAAAATACGCACTTTTATTAGGAGCTTTGAAAGTAAAAATTGACTTCTCGGAATGAATTATAGAGCTTGTTTTTTGATATTTTAGGGAAAATTTCATACTTTCAAACTATGTGAACCACAATAATTATATTTACACCTATACTAAACGGTCAAATTGCTTTTTTTAAATAGTTCTTTAAAAAATGGAAACAACTTTTGACTGATCTAAGTGAAAATAAGTTTTAATTTAACTAATTGACAACCTTAATGGCACCGAATGATTCAAAAAGGTGAAGTGTTTTTCAACAATAACGTCTTAATTCGGAGAGTCTACAATTCTCGTAATTAATGAATGAAGGCAACGAACAAGTCTAAAGAACGAAAGAATGAAAAGTGCTCAGTAACAAGGGTTCTTTGTTCGGGAAGACAATTGTTCTCAAATTTTAATTTCGACGACGTAATGCAGAGATGGTTTCTCATTTAGTCGCGAGATGGCACAACTTACAAGGTGATTTACGTCGCAACGACCGTTTTCAATGGATTACAAACAACGAAGTGAGCTTGACACAGCTTTATACCATAATCGTTCACGACTTATACATAAGTGAATTGGTTTCTGAAAGTATTTGAAGTATTTAAAATATTTCTTTTAATAAAAAATAAATATATCATTTCCTCAAAAAACGTAATATATTTTCAACTACCGATATTTATACCGATGCCAATGGCCACTCGATGGCATCTCAATAGCGTGTCAGTGGTATGACAGTGGCTTAGCGTAAACATAAAATAGCAGAATTGAGGCCCAGGCCTGCGACCAGAGGGCCAAATACGAGTTTATTTCACTTCTACTCGATCGTCACGGTGACCGCGTTCGGCGCTACGATGGGCCCACACTGAAATCTCCACCAATCGCAACGCTAAACGCGCTCGCCGTCGATAGCGAGTCGATGTGAAATAAACTTGAATTCGGCACTCTGATGGTAAGGGACTATTGCCATAGACATAGACACCTGCAACTCAGTTTCAATGTCTCTCCCTCAGAACTAGAGGTACACGTCTGTTCCACAAAACTTATGATGAGGTAAAGATTGAAGAGATATAAATAAAAAGGTATCATATGATAGAAGGTATAAATAGAATAGATAGAGGAGAATATTAAAATCAGTTTTATTGTATTTATTTCTTGTTTTTTTCAACCTATGCACATTATAAAACATCAATATATTAATACTACAATATATAAAACAAAATACAAGATTTAAGAACAAAAGAGTATTAAGAATTAAAAAAGGAAGAACTACCTACATCCGATTAAAAAGTTGATGACAAATTCTACGTTGTAATGAATTCATTGCCGACTTCATTCCTGTTCCCAATTAATGGACATTGGTATATTTCGACCGATAAAGCCTAAAATATTGGCTATAAATCACGAGTCACGATTAAAACCCGTACTGCCAAATTAGAGCGTGTTCCCAGAAACCAAAGCGCGCAGCTGCTACTATCGGAATTAAATTCCTCATGCAGCAGCTATTCGTCTTTAGACGCAACAAGATGTAATATGAACCATTCCTTTAATCTTTTTACTTTAACTTATAATTCTTATATGAGATAGACCACCCAACCACAAAAAGGCTATTGGAAAGAAAGGTAGGTTATTTTAACACAGTAACAGTTTGTAATTTTAACTCAACTCAACTCAAAATATTATTAGTTATAGTATGACGTAAGAATCACTTACTTCTCTTTCTCTCTCTCTCTGACTCTTTTCATAATCATTAAACTTTATATTCTCAATCCTGATCCAATTGCTTATTTGAAATCCATGTGTCCATTTTTTGTATCGCATAAAAAATCATCATAGAACTCAGAAAAAGTTCTAAGAAGTTACGTCGTAGGATAAAATTAAAAGGTTACTAAGAATCATTTTCTTTTTTTTTTTGTGCCTCGGTATGACAGGAGATAATTCGCGCATTGTTTCGGTGCATGATATATAAATATTGCATTTCTAGACCTTTCTATTGTAATTATAAAATATTAGCTTTTGCCCGCGACTCCGCCCGCGTGTATGTCAGTTATCGCGGTAAAAAGAAGCCTATGTTATTTGCAGATAATGTAAGTTTCCATTGGTGAAAGAATTTTCAAAATCAGTTTAATGTTTTAGGTGTGAAAGCGTAACAAACAAACAAACTCACTTTCATATTTATAACTAGCTGGTAGTTATTTTACAGGTAGAATATTTATTCGGGATAAAAGTAGCCTATGTGGTATTCCAGACTATAATCTATCTCTGTGCCTATTCATCCAGATCCGTTCAGCTGTTTTTGCGTAAAAGAGTAACAAACATCCGTACATCCATACAAACTTTCGCCTTTATAATATTAGTAAGATATAAGTATGGAATATACTATGGAAGTAAGGATTATACTAATAAATATCACATCAACACACACACACACACACACACACATCAACAGCCTTTAATAGTCCACTGCTGGACATAGGCCTCTCCTTAGAAAGAAGGTTTTAATCTACTATACCACGCTGGCCAGACGGGTTGGTATAGGGTTTTTGTCAAGTTTTCCTTCTTTTTGCAGTGCTGGTGTCCTGCGTTGTTTTGCGCCCTTAGTCGGCTCTTACGACACCCACGGGATAAATTGGGGTAGTGACATTCCGTATTCTTAATCCGTCACTACACGGAGAATAAATATAATATATTGATAATGATATATAATTATAAATTGATAATGATAATAGCTTATACTAATAACTAATATAATAATGACATTATAAAATAACCATAAAGTAATTAATTCGAAAATTAAAAGTAATTCTATTTCTTCAAAGTATATTGCTGAAGCTCAATGGTTTTCGATGACTGCACGGATTTAAAGCGGTCGCCACGCCGCTTATTTCTACGCTTAGTGTTGTGGGTGCGATCCCCACATGGGACGACACTTTGTGTGATCAACAAATTGTTGTTCTGAGTCTGGGTGTTCTTTGTGTCCGTTTCATGTTTGTTTGTACAGACACAGGATATATTCCTAATGCGGGAGTTCTCTATTATTAAAAAAAAGTTAGTTGATTTTATTGCTTGCGTCTGGAATTAATAAAAATAATTTTAATTGATTTTGAAAGAATTAAGGGAGGCACAGATCAAAATTTTTTATTATATTTAGAGCTGCTTTGTTATAGTTTACTTTCGTTATGAGTGTAAATTTTCCTATGTAAAAATTAAATTGTCCACATTTATTCTTATATGCTCGAAGAAGTCATAAAACAAACTAATTATTGATTAGATGTGATTTTGCAATGAAACATATTTCTATAGTTCTTTCTGCAACAGACTTCAAGAAATAATCGGAATGATAAGGAGCTGAGCCAAAAGCTCAGAGTCGGAAAATTAAATCTGCAGACTTGCCAACTATTTTAATTTGTCTTAGCTTTAATCTAGGCTTGCAATAAATACTACATTCAAACCTTTCAATATGCCAACATTAAATAGTTTAATTAGTGCTCTTATCAAATGTACCACAATGTCTTTAGTACATGAAAAGTATTTTAAGAACATTAAAGCTTTTTACGATATGTGCAAGAACTTTGTTATCTCAATTTTTATCGCACATTCACTTTAGTGCCATCCTGATGCTGGTTCCTTATGAATAACAAAGTTCATTCACTTAAAACTTTCATTTTTATGGTTCATATATAAACAGATCAGACGTAGGTACTACCAGAAAGTTAAAATCGATACTAAAGCATAATGCAAAAACAAAATTATACAATAAACAGGCTGTCTAACCCTTTTGTCTAAGAATTTGGACTTTGAAATAGATTGCACTAATAACATCTGGAATTAATCTGTTATAAAAGTAATATGTTGGAAAAATGTTAGAATGATTGATTTTCTTATTGTAATTTGTGATCTTTAATGTAATATTAGGTGGTTTTCGATCACGACATACTATTTCACCATAAGCGGTGCGGTTCTGATGCGGTGATAATCCGTATGGGTTTCCACAAAAAAAAATAACCGCTATGTTTCGCTGTGTGATCAACGACAAGTAACATATTCTTTTTTGTTTCTTATTGACATTTCTTTTTTTTTAAACTACTTAAAAGAATAATTATCAGCCTATCGCAGTCCACTGCTTTACATAGACCTCTCCTATGGCATGCCACTTAGATTTTGGGCTTCTCGCATCCAGCTCTTATAAAGAATGATTAAAATTAATTTCAGAATGTACATTAATGGGTTAGACTTAATATGATGATTGATGATGATATGGGTATGATATGTATTCTTACATAGTTACACAATATAAGTTAGGTAGGGCCCAGTGGTGTCAACCACAGGTCACGTTTGAAGCAAGAATTTCATTTAGACCCGACAATCTTAATCTGGTTCTAGCGCCGACGGTCGTGGCCGGAACCAGCGCTAATTGCGTTAGACGCAAGACAAACGATCTGTTTTATCATAGACTTGCTTGTATTTGACACCTGATTGATTCATGTATTTATTGTTTTTGGAGGTACTGTACACTGTTTGCCATACTATTTATAAAATTTAAAGAAACGCAAACGTTATTTTTAAGCAAATTTAATTAATGCAGTTAATCACATCTTATTATCACAAATTATTTTGTTTATTAAGTTTAATATACTATACTGGTTACAACGATAAGAGCGTTTTTTAATAATATAATAATGACTCCCTTATAAATAAGAGTTATTTATTTTTGTACGTAATGTTTTTTCCTGTTGTTATCGAATGACATCGTTTTGGCCTTTCAAAGATATAATCACAGATATTGAAACCTGTTTTTGAAATGTAAATCTTAGTTTAAAAACATAAATATACGAAAAAATATGTGTCATTTCGTTTTTTCTGTGGCATGCTATCAAGTAGAGCACAAAGTTGAAGTTGATAACAAGTAGAAGTAAGAAGATAGAAGTAACTGTTGATAACAGAATAACAAAATAGCAAAGTTATGGTTTATTACAC